TAGCTCTTCCCCGAGCTCTGGCTTCGACAACACGATTGGTGACATGAGATACTCCTTTAGCTCGTTGAAAGCCGCTCGGCACTCGTCATCCCAGACGAACCCATTGACTTTGCGCAATACCTTGAAGAAAGGTAAAGCGCGCTCGGCTAGTTTGGAGAGGAACCGGCTGAGAGCTGCCAACCGACCGGTCAATTGCTGGACTTCCCGAACGGTAGAAGGTGGTTGCATGTCCAGAATTGCCTTGACCTTGGCCGGGTTGGGCTCGATCCCCCTCTTGGTCATCATGTAGCCGAGTAACTTCCCGGTCTGAACCGCAAATGTGCACTTGGTTGGGTTCAGCCTCAACTGGTACTTCCTCATGATTTGGAAGCACTCTCGGAGATCTCGAGTGTGGTCGGATCGGTCCCGATTCTTGACCAGCATATCATCAATATACGCCTCCATCGTTCGGCCTAGCAGATCGGCGAAGAGCATATTGACCATCCTCTGATAGGTTGCTCCCGCGTTGCGGATGCCGAATGGCATCACTCGGTAGCAATACAGCCCGTCCGGGGTCACAAAAGCTGTTTTGTTCTCATCTTCATGGTGCATCATTATTTGGTGATATCCCTTGAATGCATCCATGAAGCTCATCAACTCGGCCCCCGGCCGTCTCGTTGACCATCTGGTGGATGCTCGGTAGCGGATACGGGTCGAGCGGACAGGCCTTATTGGGGTTGGTGAAGTCAATGCACATCCTCCAAGCCGGGGGCTTGGGAACAAGAACAATGTTAGCCACCCACTCGGGATAAATCACCGGTCGGATGTGCTTGATCGCCGCCATTTTCTTAACCTCTTCTTTGACAAACTCGCGGCGATCGGATGAAAGGTGCCGGGTCTTTTGCACGACCGGCTTAGCTACAGGATCGACGGCTAGCTTATGACAAATCACCGTCCGGTCGATCCCGGGCATGTCTTCGGGCCCCCAAGCGAAGATATCAAGAAACTCCCGGAGGATCGCTAAAATTTCTGCTCGGAGCTCGGGGGTGAGGGCCCGGCCAATCTTTATCTTCCTGTCCGGTCGGTCCTCGGACAGGGGAACTTCTTCTATTTCCTCGGAAGGCTCGGGTTGTTCCTTCTAGTCTTTGGATTCCTCCTTGGCGATCGTGTTCACCCGGGAAGACGGACCGGAGTCACGTCTATTGACCGCTCGGGTGTAACACTTCTGAGCGGATTGGACATCGCCACGGACCACACCGACCCCATTGGGGGTGGGGAATTTCATGCACAGGTGAGGCATTGAAATTATCCCACCAATCTTCATGATCGCGGGTCGGCCCAAGATGATGTTGTGGACGCAATGCAGGTCGACCACAACGAACTCCAACTCGGTCTTGATCGACTTCGGGGAGGTGCCGATCTCAACTGGGAGCGTGATTTTCCCTTCGGGGTAGATAAGAGCCCCGGTAAATCCCGACAATGGTACACTGACCGGAGTCAGCTCTCTTTTGTCGAGGCCAAGCTTCTCGAACACGTCCAGACAAAGGACGTTAACACTGCTCCCAGTGTCCACCATAACCCTTTGGACATCCGTCCCTTTCACGTCGATGGTGACCACGAGTGCCTCCATGCCGTGGTCACCGCTGCTAGGTTGATCCTCGAGGGTGAAGGTTATGGGTTCCATTTTCTGCCTCTTCCCGGTGTCTCGGGAATCCACTATGGCGACCGGGCAGTTGTCCCTCGGTCGGGAAGCGTCATCCAATCCACCAAAGATCACGTGGATGGTCGGCTTTCCTGCCGGTCGGTTGCTAGATGGGGGTCAGGGTCTCGTCGGTCGTCTCGGCGATCGTCCCTACGATCATCCCTTCGGTCCTGACCCGACCGATCGGAGCGTCCATCACGATCAGAGCGATCGGAACGATGATGAGAGCGCTGGTGATCCCTCCGATCGGTATTCTTTTTGGTTTCTTCTCTCTTCCCCACACACTTGTCCAACTTCCCAAGATTGAGCAGATCTTCCAACAGTTGGCGCAAGTGGGTACACTCCTCAGTGTCATGCCCGGCACATCGATGGTAAGCACAATGCTTACTCTTGTCAGGGCCGTCTTGATCGGGATGGGGGAGTTTGATGATATTGCAGGACTGGGCATACTACATGGCCTCCGCCGCGGATCGGTTCAAAGCCGTAAACTCTCCAAATTGAAGCATGTGCTCCATCTCAACTAAAAGCTTAAGCTGATAGTTTGATTGCACGTTAATGGCTATATGCTCACACGCCCCCTCACGTGTACGGTGGATTCCAACCAACACGTGGACCGGTAAACCGTTGTCGCTTACGAGTGGCGTTGAGATTTGAACCCATGACCTTTGGTCTGGCTCTGATACCAAATTGAAACATGTGCTCCATCTCAACTAAAAGCTTAAGCTGATAGTTTGATTGCACGTTAATGGCTATATGCTCACACTCCAGGCCTGGTGCGGGATCGGGGATGGTCGTCACCCGATCGATGTTCCGCCCGGCCGGCCGGTTTACGGGACGATGACCCGACCTCCTGCGAGCGTTTCACAGCGTTCGCCTCGCCGGCGTTGGCATAATCTGTGACCCTTCGAAGGGCCTCTTCATACGTGGCCGGGGGGTGGAGGATGAAATCCTGATACAAGTAACCCGACCGGAGAGAAATGTGGAGCATGTGGGTGGCGGTGGCGTCGTCCATTGGCTTGACTTCCCCGACCACCGCCTTCCACTTGACAAGGAAGTCGGTCAAGCTCTCCCCCCTCGAGCTGCTTGGCCTTTTCCAAATACATATAAGGCTTCCTCACCACCTTAGAGGTAATGAACTTCCTCACGAACTTGATCGCCAAGGCGTTAAAATCAGCAATTGAGCCTCGCTGCAAAGTTCGGAACTATTCCGCCGCCCGACCGTTGAGCGTGGAATAAAAAGCCCTGCACATTACGGCGTCTGATACACCCTTCAACATCATGTTGCTATAGAAATCGTTGACGTGGACCTCAGGGTCCGTTCGGCCATCATAGCTTTTCTCCCCGGAGACTTTCAAGTCAAGCGGGTATGGCTGAGCCATTACTTCCGCAGTGAAGGGCGTTCTCAACAAAGATGACTGGCCGTCCGGGGGTGTCACGGGGTGCTCGTTCCTGAACCGAGAGAACTCCGTCTGGAGGTTGTAGAGCAATCCTCGGGTCTCGTTGAGCTCGGCCGTCTTGGCGGCTTGGGCTGACTCCCAAAAGCGTCGTCGACGGTGAGATCTCGACCCGCTATGCCCGGATGAAGCCTCCTGCATCTGTACATCTTCCGGCTGCCGGCTCGGGTCTTGGGTCCCAAGCGTTGTCGTATCGCCGGTCGGAGACGGTCAAAAGCTACCGCTCGAGTAACTTCTTCAGGGTCCTCCGCTCGGGTCGGAACCTCCGGTGCTTGAGGAACCTGCCGTGGTACCTCCATCGCATCAGCACCCCCCGACCCCAACCGCGAATGAGCCGAGCGTCGAGCCCGGGAAGTGGGCTGATGCTGCGGCTCTGCCTGAGCAGTCGGGTACACTGGAGGGGTGGCGGCTGGAGCCGTGTACGCAGGCGTGTATGTTGGATAGCCAACCGGTGGTATATAGTACATCGGTTGACCGGGCCAATACCCGTACGGTTGAGGTGGGGCCGGGTATGGATATTGGCCTGGATACAGTGTCTGCTGCTGCTGGTATTGCTGACCGGGTGGAGGATATCCCGGTTGAATGTAGTTCACCGGCTGTTGGGCAACCGGGTATGTATTTGACAGATGAGGTGGTGAGAGATTGAGATTGAGGTCCATTGTCTGACCTTGCTACTGGCTCGGCTGGTGATCGGATGAACTAGCTGCATCCGCTTGATCGTCAGCGAAGAGGTTTTGTGCCCACGGGTACATGATTGCTAAGAGACCGGGTGCTCATCAAACGTTGCTTGCTTGCACGGGTCCCCACAGACGGCGCCAAAATGATAGTGCTAATTGCCACGTAATGCGATAATTAAATAAACACGAGACCAATTGAAGCAATTAAATAACTCTTATTGATCACAGTGAAGGCCCTAAGTACAATCTAAATGGTTGCTCTGAGTACCGACTGACTGCGGTCGGGATTCTCTAACAACAACTTATCGATCGTCCAAAAGTCCCTCACACTGTCGCTTTTGCAGGTATTTATAGCCGTGGAGCCGGAGACACAAATCCGGTCGTCCGGCATGCCTCCCACGTAGCAACCACGTGTCGCCTTCCCGGGTGCCCTGCCTGTCAACGCGTGGAGCCGCCACGTGTATCTTCTCAGCTCCTTCGCTAAGGGCTACCGCTCGGTGGCCGACACTGCCGATCGGGTAACTCCCGGTCGGGGTTCTTCACAAGAAAACCGACCTGTAACCTGCAAAGACAAGGAGAAAAGGACAAAAGCACAGGGATCGGGGTAATATTATGTCGGTTGGGGTATTCCCTACCACAACCATTAAGTTATGAATTAGTGTTTCTTTTTACCATTTGACCCCTATATCATATTATTCTTTAGATCTAGTTGGTTCTACACAATTGCTTCATCATGTCAGATAACTTAATAAGGAAAAATGTTTATTTTTATTTTTGAACGTCGTGTCAGCAAGATTATCGAAAATAACCGGTTAATGAGGAGAACCACAAGATTTTTTTTTTTTTAGATGTTGAATAATTCAATTACAAAATTTTCAAGTTTAGTGATTCAATTGCATTAACGTGAATAGTTAAGTAGTCTATTTGATATTTTATCATGCTATTTTATATTTTGAATAAAACTTGTAATATTATTTTTTGAATATATAAATGTTACTATGCATTTACAAATATTTAATTAAATAAAAAATAAATTTGTAAAAAAATTGAGTGAACTTCAACAAATTTAAATACAGGGTAAGATGCATAAAATTGGACGAAAAGAATATAAAAATGTCTCATATCAAAGTATTTAAAAAAAAAATAAGAAAAAAAAAATAGTGTAGTTTAGTGTACGGTATGTGAAGACCGGAAGAAGCAGTGGTAAAAGGAAACGTGCACGGTGCACACAAGCAGCTCGGTTGTGTGGGGCCATCGTCACCATTACTATCACTTTCCATGGAGTAATCCGAAATTGGGGAAAGCGGAAAGGAGTTGAATTTTAGGGGTTAGGTTTTCTTTTTCCTTTTTTAATCTGGTGAGACACAGAGAAGTAAAGCGGGAATGAGTGGGTTGTCGATGGACGCGTTGCCGTTGGGGTTCAGGTTCCGGCCGACGGACCAGGAGCTCATTTCTCATTACCTCCGCCGTAAGATCAATGGCCGCCATTCCGAGGTGCAGGTCATTCCTGAAGTCGACGTCTGCAAGTGGGAGCCCTGGGATTTACCGAGTTCGTCTCTATCTCTTTTCTGTGTATATATATGTTTATGTTTATATATGTTTGTTTGTGTGTGGCTCTTTATACTATGCAGATACGAATAAATATATATATTCATCTGTGAAATGGAATATGTGTGTGTGTGTGTGTGAAATACTGATTCGATTCCTTCAACTGCCCTTAGCATATCTTCTTCTTCAATTTCACCTGCGAATCTACTTTTCTTTCTTCTTTATTTATCATTTTCAAAATTTCTGCCTTCCAAAAAGTGGGACTAGGGAGACGGATTGTAGAGGAGAAGGGGAACCTAGAACCATGAAAGGAAATATGAATCTGGAATCTGTTCTGTTTTATTGCGGCAGTTTATTACTGGTTTTGCATTTTTTTTAAAAGGATAATTGGACGTTAAAATTATTTTCTTCCGAATATCTATTATTCAGAACTCAGAAGCATTGCATTCGGAGTATCTTCGGACTCCTTTCCAGAAAACTGAAGATCAGTAACTTTTGGACTTTCATTCCAACCTTCATATTGCATTTTTAAAAGAAGTTATTCTGGAATCTGGGTGCCAAATTTTTTACTCCGTATTTGATATCAATTAATTGTTTTATGGATTATTATTTATTGTTTATACAGAGTAGTATTTATCAATCCCAGAAAGATTACAAAATCTAAAGATTTATCTAAATAGACAGTATATTAGTTTGAATGCAGTGTGCTCAAAATCACAAATGAATGTTCGTGTTTGTTGTTGATAGGTTTGTCGGTTATTAAGACAGATGATCCAGAATGGTTCTTCTTTTGCCCGCTGGATAGGAAGTATCCTAATGGTAATAGGTGCAACAGAGCCACAGATGCTGGTTACTGGAAGGCCACAGGCAAAGACAGGGCTATTAAGACTCGTAAGTCCACTGGTTCTGATCAGTCAAATACCCCATTAATTGGCATAAAGAAGACTCTGGTGTTCTACAAGGGTCGTGCTCCAAAAGGCGAACGCACAAATTGGATAATGCATGAATATCGTGCCACTGAACCAGACCTTGATGGCACTCGCCCTGGCCAGGTTATAATTCTTGTTCCCAATAATCAACTTGGTATTATCATTTTTTGTTTTCCCCATGCATTTTTACTAGCTATTTGAACATTTATATCTGTTTTAATTTGAAATAATTTAGTTAATTCTTAAATTAGAATTTGAGTTTGCATTCTAATGGTACTTTGATTGCTACTTAGTTGGGTTTTTAGAAATGCCTGATTTTGTCAATAACCATATAAAGATGTGTGAGAGCTGGTTAACTAGCAATTCTGCTAATTATTTAACTGTCTCTATATTTATTTACTTCATCATCATCATTATTATTTTGGAAATACCAACTAGCTTTTCTGTTTGCCGGATTTTTGATTTATATTACATATGTGCAAGTTCTTATAATCTGCAGTCACTTTCTTGTATGTGTCTCTAGCTGTGATAGCGCACTGGTGTTATTCCTTTTTCCCTGTGCTTGTAATATTTACTGCTTGGAACTCCTTTTATGATACCGTGTAGGGAGCTTTTGTCCTTTGTCGCTTGTTCCATAAGTCTGATGACAGAAAATGTGATGAAGCTGAGCCTAGTGGCTCATCCCCTGCTACAAATAAATCCTCTCCTGATGATGTATCATCAAATCTTTTCCAAGAAGCAGCACTTCTAGACAGGCAACCACAAAAAGCTAATGTAACCTCTATTGTTATGTTGCCCGTTGAAAGCCGCATGTCAGATGTTGTAGAGCACTCAACAGAAGAAATAAAAAATGAGGTGGGAAGATGAGATTATTTCTATACTTGTCAGAATGCTTAATTCTTCAAAATTTTTATGTTTTTGTCTTCACTGTTTGTTGTAGGTAACACCAGTAGGAGTAGACATGATGTTCCATGAATCTAAGCATGAGTCCAATAGTTGCATTGATCTAGGACTTCACATAAGTTCTCCATTTCCTGATGACTTTGGAAATGATCACAATGGGTTAGATTTTCAAGATGGAACATGTGAACAAGATGTTTCCCTGTCAGAGCTCCTGGGACACTTTCAGGGTCATGAAAACTACTTTTCAGAGGAGACAACATGGCAGAATAACTTGTCTTCTGAACGCTTGATTCTTCAGGACACACTATTGGTAATTTGAGTCATTTGACATCTATTGCTTATCGTACCTTTTTTAGTATTTCTTGTTTTACTGTATCACTCTGTTTTTCTTGGCTGCAATCTGCTGTTAGCTTTAAGGTACTTCTAAAATGGAAAAGTGGCTGTCTGAAACACAATTGCATTGATTTGCTTCTAAAACTAAATTTGAGTTTTGTGCTTCCTTATTCTAATGCTTGTATTAACCTTATGGGCATGGACTTCTTGCAGGAGCAAACATCTCCTGCGCCCTTTCAGACTCAAGTGTCACCTAATGATCCAGACTCCATATTGCATACAGATGATACACACACCCATACAAATCCTGTTGGCCATGCAAGTGATGTTGCAGGCGGGTCTGGGTTAAGGATTCGGATGCGTCAACGACAAAATCGACCAACTTCAAGAAACATTATCACCCGAGGCACTGCCCCAAGGAGACTTAATCTTGTGTTGGAACAGGAACCACATTCTGTTAGTTCTGCTAATGTGGCAGAGGCAGGAAGTTTTGGCAGTGAAGTGCATGAAGCACAATCACTCGTGGCAGAGGTAAGCTTAGGGCTGAATCTTTCCTTAGGATTGCCTCTTGACCTTTTATCTATAAATGAATCCAATTCCCCGAGATGGACCACCCTGTGCCTTTTCCCTTGATATCATGTTCTTTGCAGGTTCAAGCATCTCTCACATCCTTCAAAACTAAGGCATCAGGTAATCCCTACTGCTCAGATGGATAGCATGAAACTGATCTTTATGATCATTCCATTGAAGAGAGGGTTTTGCCAATCTTAACCCTATTGATTAATCTTATGTTAAATTTGTTTAACAGAAGAATCATATGGGGATAATAGTGCCACCAACCACCGCACTACAGTAGATGGTGAAACTGGCACAAAGGCTTGGATGCCTCAGCTATTTAACCAAGCAAGCTCAGAGCACAATGTGTGCCAGGTAAGTGCTGCAAAGAGAATTTTGCAGATGGAACAAGTAACTGTGTCGGTTAGTTCTGGAAAAGCAGGCATAGGACATGGAAGAAGAGCTGTAATAGGGGAGGTAAGATTAAATGTCAGCTTTCTAAATCAGTTTTGTTTTGTGTACTGCTTTTGAAATTGTTCTTAAAACTCAAGGAATTCCAAATGAAGACATGGCATTTAACTCGTGGGTGTTTGCTTATTGCTAAGAACTTCTCAAAATGTGTTGTGTAGGCATATATTTTTCGGGAAATAGAAAACAAATTTCTTTCATCTTGCTAAAATCTGTCACATTGCGTGCAGGACCATGAAGGCAATGAATGCACTTCAAGCACTGGGAGCAGGGAGACCACTCAAGAACATGATACAACAGTTCGGTTACTGTCCAAACAGGGCAGTAATCATCACCTCTCAAAGATTGGGTTCTCTTTCTCATCGCTTGTATCACCCGTTCTCTGTGGGCTCAGCTTCTCAAGATTATATGCTGTCAGCATATATGTAATAGTAGCCGTGTCAATATTCTGTATTATGATCTGGAAGTACCCAAGCAAAGCTGTAGTGCAAAGATAAACATGTGCATGCTAGTCTTTGTTATTCAGTAGATTGCTGTAAGTTGCATGAAGTCTTCTTGTAAATAGAATAAACACATTAGTCCCATACCTCCATCTAGGCCAGCACACTTTTGCTGCTGTATTGATGAATAGTATTAAGCTTTAGAAACATGAAATTTTTGTCCTTTAAAATTAGAAAAACATGTTATTTTACTACTACCATAGTTATTATCGGTTTTTATCTAACAAAACTGGTTGTCCAAACACCGAGAGTTGAACTTGGAACCTTGTGATTAGAGTTGTTCTTTATCTATTGCAGGTAGACTCGGGTTCAAGAATACACAATTTATATATTGAATGTTCATAATTTTTATACTGAATGTTCACAATATTGCAAGAAGGTGGGTTGGGCTTGGATGGAGCAGCCCAACCCAGATTGAACAACAGAAATCTTGGTTTACTAAGAGGAGGGGAAGGTATGGCGTAAAAAAAGGCAGGGTCGCAGGCTTTTACCGAGAGAGCAGGAGCTGAGGGTGAGGAGTAGTTGTTGTTGTTGCAAAGGCGATAGGGGGACCTCTGACCAATTTGACATATCTTGTGTTGTGTTGTAACTCTCCCATCTGTCCATACACTGCATTCTACAGTAACTACACTACAAAGTACAAACCATCCCCTTGGGTCCACCCACCCACACCAACTACAATACATACATATCCTCCAACTCTAATAAATATATACATTTTATATCTTAAGGTCACCATTCACCACTCTAAATTTTATCCACTCCATTGGTTGATCCCGTTTTACATGATCTTTTTACTTTATGTGATTTATTTTTTCTGTGTAATTTGTAAATGCATATCATCCAGTAATATATGCCTCATTAAAAAGTGTGAACACATCTACATTCTCCATCTTGAGAAATTAAAAGCTAAGATCTTATAATTACTAAACTTTCAAGTTTACAATAATTATAAAATGGATCACAATCTTAAAAGTTTTTTAATAATTATAAAATTGATCATGTGTTTTTTTTTTTTTTTTTTTTACTAAAATTCTCAATCATACATGAACCCTGATGAACGGCTGAGAGAACATGTCATCTTGTAACAAGTGAGAATTGATCTAAGCCGTTCATCAGGGTTCATCAATGGTTGAGAGTTTTAGTAAAAAAAAAATGTGAAATCAATTTTATAATTATTGCAGACTTTCAAGTGTGTAATATTTATTTTTCAGCAACTTCAAGTGTTGATCTACCTAGACATCACTTTTTACAAACCCTCATGTTCTTACTTAAATCCCTCCCCACTACTAAATGGGTCCAACTCTCCTAAGTTTTTCAGCGCGTTTGGTTGGGATGAAGGAATTAGGGTAGAAAGCAATTGCAATTCAATGAGAAAAGAATAAGGTGGGAATAAAGTATGAATTTAAATTACATTGTTTGGTAGGGATGCATAGAATTGTTGGGAATGTGATAAGCTTAATTTCTAGACATTATTTAGAGTAATTTTAGTTAGTGATTAGCATAAATAAATTAAGTTTTAGGGTCAATTTTATTATAAATATTATATTTATTTATATGTTACTAGTTTAGACTAGTTTAGATGAGTTTTAATAAATATTAGGCTAATGTTGCATTTTTATTAATATATAAAGAAGAGTTTTATTTTATCTATATTATTAAATTTATTTATTAGTGTTATTCATTCTAACTTTAATAATATTTTAATATTTAAGTTTAATTGAATTGTTATGTCATTAGTTTATAATTATTTTATTTTAACTTAATTTGTTTTGGTTTTTAGGGATTAGCGTGGCAGCAGATAAGGAAGAAAAAGAAAAGTATTAATTAGGGCTTTGGTTTTGAAGCAAGTTTTCGACGAGAACAGAACAGAAAAGAAGAGGGAGTGTACGAGACCTGGGAGCGCAGCCGTGGTTCGGCGAGAGGGTTTCAGCGAGGAAGCGAAGTAATTCAAGACTCCATCGCAAGGAATTTTCAAGCTTCAATCACAGCTATCATCTCTTAGGCTTGATTTATTCTTCTTCTTTATTTTATTTTCCAGAATACTATTTATTGAACAATTTATGCATTTAATTATGATTATTGGCTAGAACTTAAATTAAGGATTTGGATTAGCCTAAATTAGATTAATTGACTATTATTCAAATGTGTTGATCCTTCTAATTTCAGTTTAATAATTGAATTTGATTATATTTATTTTATGTATTTTAATTGTGGATTGTGTGACTGGCCATTGCATAATTCTAATATTAGGGTTCATGAGAAGAACTGACAGGTGAATTATGAACCTAGAACTCGTAAGATAAACACAATTGACCTAAACTAGACATAGCTTTAGGTATTTGTGGTGATATTTGATTGTTGCTTAATGGGTTTAATTAATGTTGGTGAGATATCGACGGATGATCACAGTTAATTGGACACAACTTAGTAGCTCGACGGAGTATTAGGATATATTTGAAACAATCATCACTATAGTCATAAGAATTAATACTTAGGAGAGTTAGTTAATTATCTAATAGGTGAACCCAAATCCCTAGTATTCTCTCAATTGAAATTTCCTTTATTTTGAATTCATAAAATATTCTTTTTAATCACATTAATTTTATTTATTTGAGATTTTCCTTATCAACAATTTGATTATTAAATATAACAGTTAATAGTGTTCTTCGTGGGATCGACCCTGGAATACTCCAGGAATTTATACTGTGATTGACTCTGTGCACTTGCAGATTATAGCAATCAGAATGAAAAAGAAAGAAGTGATATAAAGATTAAAATGTCCTTGTGTAATAATAATAATAATGAGTTAATACCCAAAATTGTCCTCGACTATAGTGGTTTTTCTCAATTTCGTCCTAAACGACTTTGGTGACCTAATATAGTCCCAGACTTTTGTGTTTCACTCAATTTAGTCCTCTGTTTGTTATTCCATCAAATTGGTGTTAAATAAAGGGACAATTCAATAATATCAATATTGACCTCTCTTTACTTTCAACCTGCGAAGTAAGAAATCTCTCTTTCTTACACGAATTACACCCAGAGTTACTCTCAGACCTACGAATCAAATTTTATATTCGCAGCTTTAGAAGTGATTCTGGGAGTAATTCGTAAAAAAAGAGGGATTTCGCACTTCACATGTCTATGAATAAAGAGATGCCAATATTAAAATTACTGAATTGTCTATTTATTTAACAACAAATGAACGGAATAACAAATGAGGGATTAAATTGAGCAAAAACACAAAAGTCTGGGACGAAATTGAGTAAAAACATAAAACTCTGGGACTACATTAAGTCACCAAAGTCATTTAGGACAAAATTGAGAAAAACCACTATAGTCGAAGACGATTTTGGGTATTAACTCTAATAATAATCATCATCATCATCAAGGGTACTCTTGTCATTTTCTCCCTTTTTCCCTTTCCCACAACCACCGAATTGCAATTCATAGGGGGTGCCCATGAATTGCAATTCAGCAAAAGGAAGAAATTGTAATTTCGTGGAATTGCAATTCCCTCCAACCAAACACTGTAATTTGCTTTACCATGAAATAAAGTAGGAAAGGAATTTCAATTACATCCAACCAAACACCCTAGAGCCGGGGTTGATTGTGCGTATAGTAGTAACTCAAAGAATACTGTAATTTGAATCCTCAGTTGGAAAGGATCTCAATCTTGAAATGAAAAGCACACATTCAAACCTTGTGTTACTGAAACACATCTCAAGATTTACTTCAATTCTCTCACAACCCTAGAGCCAGGGTGAGGGAAGTATGTCACATAGACGGACTTAACGGTGCATGAATGCAAATGTCAATGTTACATTTTATTTTATTTTTCTATAAAAGATTAGTAGTATTGTTGAGAGCAAACAAAAGAAAAAAAATAATAATATATAGATGGAATTGTTAGGGTAGGCTTATAGCATTAGGAGGTATGTGGTGTTGTAGCAATCCCTTATCAGCAACGTCCTGTTGCTATCAACCCTACCACCCCAGTCCCACATCATTGGGGGTCGACGATGCATGCAGTAGCTATATATATTCATCTATAGATATATATAGATATATGTATGTATATATCTCTCCATATATGTGTGTGTGTGGTGTGTGTACGTACCTATATATATGCATACATTTCGCTATATATAACAAAGTCAGTTGTGGCGTTTAATGTTATGGGATCTGCTGCGGCATCATCATGTCATATATATGCTTTGTTCACATTGTCACTGTTCTTATCTCTCTTCCATCCCCTTTCTTTGTTTCAACTCCCTTTTATCCATTCAATTCCCACAACTTTATAACACTATATTTGTACGGATTGAATTGGATTGGATTAGAGTATATTTTAATAATAATTGTTCCCTTTTATCCATTCGTATACTTGTGTAACAGTCAGTGCAATCACGTTTCAATAATAGGAAGCTGGACTTAGCTTCATCACCCAAATAATAGACTCTTTTCCAATCACTCGATTGAATTTATAATAGCACGACTTCCCCTGAAAGTACCCAACAACCCTTTACTACATCCTAGGTTATCCTTCCATATAACAACACTAAACGATCCGAGCAGATAATCTGCTCCCACTCAAGTTAAACGCACTCTACTGGTTAGGTCGCTTAATGAAAACACCAACAATTTCTTATTCAAATTCAAAGGAGAAGTATTCAAGTTTAAGTATCACTCCATAATTTCTTATTCAGTAAATGTGATCTGAAAATATATCGAATCATTTTATGACACACTTTATGATGAGTGATGGGATTAATTTGAAGTATACATACATGAAGCTAAGGTGGTCCATTTACTATTACTATTGTTGTCGGCCTGCTGGTCCGTAAGTTACTTTGAACTTAAAAGTCCATCAACACCAATCCTGCACCATGCTATTGGTTGGCCGGCAACACACTTAAATGGATCATATCCCCATGTTGTACTTCTTTTCTTTTATGATACATACTCACTATGCATTCATCTTTTTTTTTTTTTCCTTCATTTAATTTCTTTTCAACTATTTTGTAATAGTTTCTAGCTTAGCTTGCTATATAATCCTTAAATGACAAGAGTGGTTAGCTTGGTTATGTTGGTAATAACTTCCCTTTTACAGCTCATACATTTATATATATGAGTCAAAATATCATTATTGCTTCTCATTTATATTTCTAGATACAAAGGAAAAGGAAAAAAAA